ACGTGGCCGAAGTGTTTGCAGCATTGCCATGCCATCCACTACCCAGATGGATTCCAATGGAATTGGGCTTACCGGTGCAACCCCAGCCAGTTCCTCGACATAGTGCATCAGGTCAGACTTGGAGTTCTTGTACAGATGGCCGTTCTCTGTGGCTATAGGAAGAGGTACAGGCCCAAGACTGTAAGACAACACCTCTCTCATATCGGCATTCCTTACTTGGCTTATTACTAGCAGACGAGCAAAGAGATCACGGTTCGCCTTCAGTACCACTTGTTTGCTATTGACTCGCCGGGTCACTTCTTTGCCCTGATTTGAGAATGTAAGCAACTTGTTCTTCTTCAATGCGTCAAAGAACCCCACTTGGTCACTCTGCAACCGCTCTTTGATGAACTGTACACATTTGTCCTCTCCAAGGCCCTTGGCTTTCATCAAGTCCTCACACACTTTATCACTTGCCACAACACCAGATGAGATATGAATCAAGTCGCTGCCTTCACATTCAAAAGGATTCACCATGTTCGAGATGGTCTCCATGACCCCCTGTGTAGCCTTCTCATCTTCTTGATTGCGCGTCACATCAAGATCCTTGCGCATTCTTCCTCTACCAGGTATTTTCCCAGCCATTTCCTGACATTTGTGAGTTATACCCGAACGCTGATGCTGAGTCAAGTGCCATCGCTGAACTGCCCCCTTCTTTCTGGTAAACCCGGTCAGTCCACCTTTGGACTTGGAGTCCCTGTTGCAAGTCTCCTCTATTAGTTGATCGCAGGGAATCTGTGAAAACCCATATTCATCTTGCATCTGAACTGCAAATTGTCCCATCATCATTCCAATGTGGAGGTGGGGATGTGTCGTCGGCAAGGCACACATTTCGAGCCAGTACACTGCCCCATACCTGGAGTAGTTCACTCTGTCGTAAGCAAAATACCAAGGCAGCATACTCCTAATACTGGAAAGGTGTAACTGCCAGTCGCCTTCTCTGCTGGCTCTTATCAGCATCAACAACAATTGCACCATAGACATATAGGACGTCCAGAAGGCAAACGTTTTGCTGTGTTTGCAGGCCTCTTCAATGTACCTCTTGTATGACTCTTCAAGTTGAATTAATTCACCATTCTCCTCACTGCTCAACTGATCAGCAAAATCTGAACCAAGGAAGACATACGACTGACGCATTTCGTGAAGAAGATGTGCTGACTCTAGTTCCTCATCTTGCAGGGTACCAAGGTAAGCATCAAACACCAGCCGATGCAGGGCTTCACACACTATCTTGTGAGCTATCATTGCCCTGTTATAATGGTGACCACTCATAACTCCATTTAAGGCACCCTCGACAATCAAACCTGATTCAATCATCACATCTCTCAAACCGCCATCTCCAAATCTTTTTACCAAGACAGCTCAGAAAGGACAGGCAGGTGTGGAATACACCCAGTCGGACAACCAACCTGTTAGTGAAGATTTCGTCTTGCCACTTGATCTGCTGCGCCTTTGCATAGATGGCTTGATCGAACACTACGACAACCTCATTCAAGTCTAATTTATCTGCATACTCTAAACTTCTGAGGAGTATGGTGTAGACAGTGTCATGGTCGGTAGGACTTGCATCAATCAGAGGCAGGTAGCGGACCAATGCCTTTGGTGGATACATGGCGCCTTGAAGTACAGTATTGAATCCTGTCCATCCATGAATAGTCGGACCTTCATTGCTGCACCGTAACATGAAGAAGATGTGATCTAATCTGCTTGCATGTTTCTGAAACTTGGTGAATTCACTCTCCTCGATTTGAATTTCTGTGGCAAATGGTTGTGGGCCCTGTTGCTTTCCACCAAAATAAGATGCAATATGGGATGGCGCTGTCTGGAGTGTCCTTTCTCTGGTTTTGGTTTGTGGTACACGACTACCAGATGAAAATGGGGGATGTGATGACAAATAAATACCCGGTTGAACAATGATTCCAGATGTGCTATGGGTTGTACCCTTACCAGACAGGGTTTCCTCCCCGAAATCAATGTTATCCCACACCAAGGTAGTAAATGCTCCTACTCTGACATCATCTGGAACTGGATTTTCACCCAACATCAACTGCCTCTTGGCCAAAGCTGTGTCATGCTCGAGCACAGATGTCACGGATGTGCAGTGGCCCAACCCATTTAACAAACCAACAAGCTGTGCAGAGCCTGACAGGTGTCGAACAGCCATTGACAATGCAGTGTGATTCGGTGTGGCCAACTTTCCTCTACTTGACAAGTACAGCACATCCTGGCACACTGACAGCAGTTTCTGGTGGTCTTGCTGCCGTACTTCAACCCGCGAAGTTGCTTCAGGTTCGTCAGAGAAGCCTGTCAGCCATGCCATGGTATTGTATAGCTGATGGGGGACCAGTTGTTCTGAGTGATGCAAGGTCAAATCCTCTGCAGTTGGTGGCCAAGGTAATTTAACAGACGGAGGTTCCTTGATGATTTTATGCAGCTCTAAAGATGCAGTGAATAGGGTGTGCAGATTTGTTTGCTGGAGGCCCGACGGCTTGTCTTTGCTTGATGGACCTGGTCTTGCCTCAACATCACTGGTGTCAGCCTCACTTTCGGTCTCAGACGAGGTGTCTGTCTCTGAGCCAAGTGCATCCTCAACCAATTCTTCTCTGGCAAGCGTTTCACAGTAGACTATGTCACTCATACTTCTGACAGCTCCCGGTTGAAATACAAGTTGAGGAAATGTGTTCTTCAGTCTCATCTTCAGATTGTGCGAGCGGTAGTTTGGACAATCCACACCTTCCAATTCCTTCACATACTTCACAAATTTCCGTCGCAGTGAAGTGAGACATAGAATTTCCTTATCCTCAATCAGCCGCTTTCTGACAACATTTGTACAGAACTGGTCATAGGCATCGCTGTATTTCTGAGACATCAAATCAGGTTGTGCAGGGGCCCGATACATTAAGAACCTTGTGTACTCTTGGTAGCACAGGCGATGATAGCACACCTCAATTGCAACAAGATCCTTCACGGCTGTTTCAGCGCTGTAAAAGTGCGCCCTCTGTTGGTTATCTGTGAACGGCCGATAATTTATGCATTATGACGTCATAATCACTGGGCGGGTTTGCGTTTGGGCGACGCGTCTTGTGTTTGAATTCCGGGGAGGTAAAAACGTGATCACCTGACCTCCTAGGGTTAGCATAAATTATGTAAATTGGCCATTTAACAAAAGAAACTCATGATTTATTCATAACTAGTTGGCTGGTGTCCGTGGTTTGGGGAATAAACAATTTAGGTGGTCTTGCGAAATACCAGCGATTCGAACGAAAACCGTTAAATTTGGCGCTAGCGTTCCTCGACCTTCACAAAAAGGGCAAATGATTCCTCGACTCCGGTGGATTCATGAAAAATGTTATCACCAGTCGACTCTTCGAGGCTTACTAAACACCTATCAAATCATAGCTTTCCTGGGCCGTTGCGATTTGCGTGGCAAAAAGCTGCTGAAAATCCAAGTATGGGGGTAGGCTACCACGCGATGACGGCCCATGTGCACTGCACTACGTACAATGTACATGTATAATGTAGGCCTACATGTACAGTACATTTACATCGCGTGCAGTGCCATGCCGTGCACATGCATTATTACCCATTGTGGACAACTCAGCAGCCGCGTGCCTTCGCCATGTTTTTTCAAGGTAAGTTCAGTTAATTAAGTTTTAATTTTCATTCATGAAATGATGAAATGATCATTATAATAATGGTGACTAGCTTGTTGAGTCTATGGCCTATGCTTTGACTGTCTGTAATTTAGTGTAAATTTTGCATGCATGCCATTGACATGATTGATGGATGCTTGAAAATATGGTCAGATGGTCGTGACGTGACACATGCCATCACATGATCACATACATGTGCGTGTACGTACATGTAGGCCTATATGTACATCCTACATGTTTGAAAAATATGAAAACAGGAATTTTACCGGATCAGATGTTATTGTTAAATAATACATAGGCCTAGGCCTCTGTCATGTATGTCCTGTACGTAAGTTAGTGTCACATATTACTATAATTACTAAACATGCTAAACTGATCTGATCATGCTGGAACTGGAAGGGACGTTAAACAAAGTTTATCCTTGACCATGTTGACACTCACTGCTTGATGCAAAGAAAGAGGACCGAGGTGTTTTAAAAAAGTGTCTGTCGAGTGTCGATACATTGTTAGCAGCTATCTAATTACTACTAGCATCGAATAGGCTACCTTACTGTAAATTCTTTTGCTGCACCATGGCACGGATTTAGCCAAATAAATTAATAAAACTTAAAAGAACAGACATGAACGGTCATGATGGTTTATGGAAATCTTAAATACTCCACCAACAATATAATTATTAACATTTATATACATCATTATACATGTACATTATGCACGAACATTTCATGTTATTCATTCGCAGGATTGAACTATGACATCTACAGGAAAATTGGGAAATGGCACTGCTCAAACCAATTACATCTGTACATGTACCGATATAATTATAAACAATTATCATACATTATACAATGGGTTAATAGCATGAGCATTTCATGTTACTCATGCCTAGGTTGAACCTGTATGACACCTACAGGACAAATTGGAAAACGGCGTTGCTCAAACCAATTACCAATATAATTAAAACAATTAGACACATTCATGACATTATCATACATAAGTAGCATGATTGTTATTCATGCCTAGGATTGAACCTGTGTGACACCTACAGGAAAATTGGGAAACAGCGCTGCTCAATCCAATTTCTGTGAACCGATCAAAAACAGAGGTGGCTTTCAATTCGTGCATTTTTTTGTAGTACTTTGAGAAGTGACTAAATTTAGCAACAAGAAAAGACAAGGCATCAAAATCTGTGACTTTTGTGTATGGCAGTGATCACCTTGTTGCCAAACATGAACATGTACATGTATGTTTTATTTACTTAGGTGAAAGACACTTTTTTTTCTGTTATATGATTTCTTTTCCAATTCTTCACAATACTTCAGGACAGGTCGAGACATGATGTCGTCGCATGACTGCCATGAGCCTGTCCAAGTCATCCCGCATCCCTTGAACCACTCGGCCGATTCTGTTGAATTCTGCATGGATGAGCTCTCCGCCTTGTTCATTGAGCAAGCCAAGACCCACACGAAAGCGTTGTAGCTGATCCACAGCATGGTCTTCAAGCAGGTGGAGCTTGGGAGTGATTCTTTCCTCCGGGAAAAGCTGGCGGTAGGTCCTCAAGAGTTCCCGAATACTTACATCTGTGGGCATGAAATGCAACATGTATTGTCTTCGTGTTTTTCCCATACATACGTGTACATTTTACATCTCTTTTTAAGCTGAAGTGTGTTTGTGCACTTACCTATGCGGAGGACATCTTCGTCAGTCAAAGCAAGGGCATGGTTAATGCCCTTATGGACATCTGCAAATTTCAGAAAAACTTCTCTAAAATTTGCACGGTGTTGAAACGCCTGCCGTCTGAGTCGTTCTTGAGCAGCAAGGGACATATCGTCTGTCAGCTGTCTTTCAAGCTCTTCCGGGGGGACTTTAGTGAGGGCGTCAATTAGCTTTGGCTGCAACGTGAGAAAATACTTTTTAGCCATGTAATTTTTTGTTCCTTGATCTAAATTTGTTTTAATGCATGTATTGTTACTCTTACCTCACAGCATTTGTTGACATGGTTACCCACGAAAGCTTTCCCATGGTACGCTTGTCGCTGAACTTTGTGGTCATGGAGGACTCTGTCAAGGGCACTAGCAATGGGACCAGTTGCGTAGGTAAGCTTCGCTGACAGAGCGTCTTGTTCCTGAAATGTTGGTAGCCAAAAAGTGCATTTTTATGAAGTATTATATTTTAAATCATGCACAGGAACTAAAATGATTGTCATAGGACTGCTGAAAAAATTTGTTGTAATTACCAAGTCTCTGATGTCTGCTCGCAGTTTAAAAACAGATGTAGCTGTATCACGGAAAGCTTCATCCATCTTGTCACAGTTGTTCCTCAGGGCATAGAGGGGGAGTTCTTCCTCGGCTTGTTCCAGAGCGGACCGCTTTTCAGTAAGATCTTGCTGAATCTTGTTCTGCCTTTGTATTTCTGCAGCTATCTGGTCATCAAAGTTGGTTCCTTCTTCATGATCTTGAGACGTGACCCGTAGCTGGAACAACTTGACATCGAGATCATGGCAGGCCCTCTCAAGCAGATCGAACAGCTTTTTGTACACGCCCAGAGAAATATGCAAGGTAGGGATTATGACCTGAAACAGAAAGAGTTAAAACTGGTTTGGTGTTTATGTCATTTACATGCATACATGTACATGTGTTTAGATTTGTTTCGTAGCACTTTTATGTACATGCTATTTTTACATAGGCGGGTTAACTTTATTACATATTGTAATTGTATCTGAGTGACTAACATGGCTACTTAACACATGGCTCACATGTACATGTATTTATATTAGCAGCATTAATTCACTTACATGGTCAGTCTCAATGGGTATTAAGGAGGGATTCACAATGCTGTATGAAACATCTTTGGCCCGTGATGGTCGTGCTCCATCCTCCAGGAATAGCTGGTGATGCTCTCTGATGTTTTGGAGGTTACGAGGCAAGCATGGGCCTCGCTCTGCGATTGGCAATTGCATTGTCTTCTTGCTTGCCAAACAGTAAACGCAGCAGTAACGAGCTGAAAGGCAGAAACAAAATTGTTGTTGGCATTAAATTCTTTTTTAAGCTAAAACTTGTTTTTTCAGTTTGTGTTTTCAAAGGAGTGAATAAGGCAAAAACTAAGCACAGTATGACTACACACAGGGTCTGGTCTAGCCATTAATAACTTTATCCTAAGCTTTAAATAAAAATTCCCCCCCCCCCCCCCCATTTTTAGGTTGTGCATGAGATGGGTCACCAACAACCTTCTATCAAAACATAAAGGCTGTTCTTGCTGAACAAGAAGAAAGGAAGAACAAATCAGGTGAGTTAAAAACCTTACCATTACACCCACAGATTCCATACACCTTGTTCAGTAGTTCGTAATCCCCAAAGAGGAACACACGTAGGGACCTTCCACTGAAATAAAACATTTGAATCAATTTTGTCATAAATACCATGGTGTTTGAGTTGCTTTAATAACATTATAATCATTCCTGCTTGTGTTGTCTTTCAATCTAAACAAAAACAAACAGGAAAAAAAGTGAATAGGGATTAGAGACCTGAAAAGACTTACCGCCACTTCAGTGTGGACAGCACTGAAAGCTGCTCAAATATTGGGGGAAGTGCTCTCCGTATGTTGGCCATCGAGTCGGTGGCTTCAAAACAGGAAAACACAACAGTGTTTTTTATGGAGTTGGGATGGGCTACATTCACAATTTGGAAATCCATTTTAAATGAGTTTCCTCCCTTGTCTCCGCCGACCTTAATCCATATTTCGTTGGCTGGGATGACCCCATTGTGCCATGTCAGGGTACCTTGCCTGGAGTGGGAGAAAAGAAAAAAATGTGGACGCAAGACTTGGGTTTATTGTAAGTGCAACTGTCTCTACAATATACCATTTACAACATGAAATTCTAAAAGTTATATGAAGATACATTATCTTACTGGTCGTGGCGGTCCAGGTAGTCCAGAATCATTGCTCCGATGTCCTTGACATACACAAATGGTGTTTCCTTGAGCTTCATGCCATTGATCCCATCGGCTGCATTTGTGTTGAAAAAGAGCTTGATCGTTTCGCCAGCTAGATTATCCTTGAGTAGCATTTTCTGAGTCTTGCGCATGGCCCGCTCTGAAGGAATGTTTGCTCCACTCATGTACCTGTTGTAAATTAGTTAAGTGTTTGTATGTTCAACCAATTATAATTCAAATGTTTTATATATTTTTTTTCCCCCAAAGATTTCCTGCAGTTATACCTTCTGAGTTTCCGTAGCTGATTCCACGCAAGGCTGCAGTCACGCATCATTGCCATAGATTTCTCCGTCGTCATTCCAGAAGATGCCAGACACTTTGAGGATTTGTCATCACTGCGTTGGGACATCACAACTCGTTGGATATAGGTTGGCTGAGAAAATTAATCAAACCAAGGATGAATCTGGATGTGCATGTACTCAGTCCAAACACATACAATGTACAAGGCCAGGTCAAGCAAAACAAAATTTTTGAATCATCAGTCATGCAAAACTGAATCCATGTCAACCTTGTACTTGAACCCCCCCCCCCCCCCCCGAAAAAAAAATTATTTAAATCTTCCACCTACACGTATGTATCCCATTTTAATTCAGTGTTCATGTAAATATTGTCTGGCTTGGTTCACAAGAAATTTTGTTCCAAAAAATTCAAAGTGAGTTTAGTGCGCCAGATGATAAAGATTCTTTGTGAAATTTGTAATGATGGAAAAAAAACCGAAAAATATAGAACTAAAGGTACCTTTATTTTGTGGTTAATGTATAAAGTATTTTATGAAGAAAGAAAATTTAAGTCTATTAATATTATCTTTGAACTTACCCGTCCACCTGTTTTGATTGTGACCAGAGATTTATCTTGTTTTAGTTTGTGGCACATCCATTTATCGGTAGCTTCTTCGACTTCAGATGGTATTTGTGTGCCAACTTTGTGATTAGAAGCCAGCTCTTTAAGGATCCTTGCTGCATTTGTAATCTGAGCAGCTTTATCATCTTGGGGAAGTAGGGAAGACTTGGGTGCTTCCACTATGGTTACTTTGTGGTCTGGGGTACTGTTCGGTGAACAGTCATGATCTACAAGTTGGGACAGTCTGCCAATTTGTGTGCAGTTATGGCAAATCACTGTCAGGTTGTCAAGCTGTACATTTAAGATACGGGGAATTTTTGTAACCTCCTGGAAGTCCAAAGTCTGTTTACATGTAGGACAGTTAATTTTATGACACGATGCAAACTGGAAGCATTTACTGAGGCAGGTTGAACAAAACACATGTTCACATGGTGTCTGCACCGCTGGTCGGCTGATTATGCATTGGCATATTACACAGATAAACAAAAATTCTTCTCCTCGATGGCAAAGAATGTCAATGCTTGGAGGCACTATACATGACAATGTTTGTGAAGGCAACTCACTAAAGATGTTGTCCTTTCCTTGAAAGCAAAGCGCCGAGTCTGTACTCTTCACTTGTCTGCTGGAGTCACATTTAGGTTTATAGGAGCCTCCGCCTCTGCCTTGTTGAGGTACTAATTTACAAACAAAGCACTTGCCTGTCCGGGAATGTTTTGGCCATTCGCTTTGCACAGTTTGTCGTCTTTTTATGTTACTCACACTGTAGGTCCTTTCTCCAGAAGTGTAGTGCCTAATTTTCCTGGCGCATTTCTCGCATAGTTTTTGTGGATGCTGATCAGGTGTGTCCTCCCAAGTACTTACTCCAAACACATTGAAAATTTCCTTGTTTACATTCGCACAAAATACTGGCTTCCTAGTTGAAACTGTAGATCCTGGATGTAATCTATTTGTGCAAATTCTACATATTTTTTCTAATGATGCCTCGTGAAATTTAAAACTCATGCTGATGTAAATAAAACACCATTTTGAAAGACACGAACTCTACGGTCTTCCTGTGTTTTTATTGTTGTGTTGCGTGAGTGAAAGTTGTATTTTTGTATAGCGCGCCAGCAGCGCCACACATACTGGTTCCCCGCGCTATGCACATAAAGCAAATGCATAAGCAGTGAACCCACGAAGTTGACGATGAAGTGAAGAATGAAAATAACCGCGCATTTGACGATGTTTATCGTCTGATTTTTAAAGAATTGATTGCGGCCCAGAAATCCTATGATCGCTTTTAGTTGAATCTACCTTTGTATTTTATGGTAAAAGCTGATATTTTTTCATAACCACCAGGGTTGAGAGGGAATCTTTGGTCTTTTTTGTTCATTTTTGTCGACGATACGAACGAAGAACGTCACACAGAAAACCCAATAAATTGACGAAAATTCACTTTTAAGTCAAATATGATCAGGTTTATTTCATTTTTTTCGTAAAACTTTTGTTACTTTATGGAAAAAACAAGTTTACAGAAAAGAAAATGACAAAAACTGTTCATTACTGGGATTTGTTTGTGTGAAATTTACATCGTATTTTTGGTCCCTGGACGCCGCCATGTTTGCATGACGTTACGTGCGTAATTGGAGTAAATAAAAGACAAACTAACGAATGGGCAATACTTTTGTTACGCATAATGAATACGACCGGAACGGCCGTGCCTTTCCCTCAATCTGTGAGAGCAGCCGCTGATCTTCTTTTACCCTTGCTGCTTCAAGAAGTTTTCCTGCAGTGAGCGTCTGGCATTGGGAAAGTTTGTCAATCACAGTTTTTCTTGTCCTCTTGTTCGAACTCCACCTCTTCTTTTTGTTGCAGATGATGCATATACGTGGCAGTATGTGAGGTTTTTCGGGATTTCCTGGAAGGAAGCCTGATGTTGAGCGAAGTTTCCTCCTTGGGGGCGCAGTGATGCATCCTCCTGTGTCTCTTTCCTCTGTGTCTGCCTCTGTGTCTGCATCTGTGAACATGGGGGGGGGGATGTAGGTGTAGCCAAGGGAAGAGTTATTGGTTTGGTCTAGCAGGGAACTCCTCATGTGGCCGAAGGCTACTTATAGTTAATAAATATTGATGTGAAGCGAGTGGACACGGAGAGATGACTAGATTTGATTAATTTATTCGGATGGATCTATACAAAATATACAGTTGTGGCTCTCTAGAATATATATACAAAAAAAACGACAGTCAAATGGGTATACAGTTGTACGTCTGTGGAATTAAAGAAAACAAAATGGACATCTCATTAGTTTGTTATCATTTAAAAGAACATGTAAATAGCAATCCAATAAGTTACAAAACTAATAAGATAATTCTGACATTTAAACTAATATTTGGCGGAGCCTCATGGTGCATAATACTGCCCATGGTCTCTGAAACAGTGCTTTAGTTTACTTAAGCATCAGGTAATAAGAGAAACTTGAAGAAGCACGTTCTACTGTAGTTATTGCTTTACATTTCTTGCTAATTCACCGTACAATTATGGCCAATTATGCCTAAAGCTGGTGGGAAAAGGTGATATTTTATAGCATGTATTCCCTTTAATATCGAGAACACTTCTCTTTCAAGCATAATTACAATTGAAGAGAATCAAACCCTTTGTATTATGTGAAAATCTATCCATAGTATCTTTACACAAGGCTTCTACAAAATTTACAATAAAAATTGAAAAGAAAGATATAAAAATTAGATGTGTACTCACCGCCTAGGCTGAACAACGGTCGTGCCACCACCAAACGAAGGGGAAATTGTCCCCAACTAGCTGTAGTTGAGCTATAATCAGAGCACTTCTAAATTGTAGGTGTGGTCTGATCGCAAGCAAGTGGATGAGCGTCTCTAGCAATGCTTTGTCATTACACGAAAGCTAAGTTATGCAGCTCGCAATGCAGCTCAGAAAGTGTTAACAATATTCTGGAATGCAAGGTATGTTGGAATGTTCCTGTCCAATGTAGCTAGTTATGCTAGAATGTGATTGCAGGAAAGTTAAGGAACCAAGCGAGGGCGTTGCAATAAAAAGTTTCTGTAACTACAGAGGGCGCTAATTATGTTATCAAAATAATGGCTCATCATATTGTACAGCCTATGTACTATGCTTATGATTATATTAGAAATGTTACCGAGACCTGTCTGTTGTAAAACACGACAGGTCACACTCACCCCCTAATTTAAAAAAAAAGAAAACTATACGAGGAATAAGTAGACTATGAGGAATAAGTAGCAGTAGTTAGATGGTAGTATGTACAAGTTCCAGTTTCTGCCTCTACAAATGCCAACTTATCCTAGAATCTTCCTAGAGGATACTGCATGGTGAATACCTAGTGATCAATATCAATTAGAAATATCTCGCAGTCCAGACTCAGTATATCACTAAGAGCGAGTTGACCTCATGGACTAATATAAAGATGTTCTAAATATCACAATAAAGATGATAAACTAGGCTACTATTCAAACCAAATGTCCCCTAGTATGATAGAACTATCTAGGAGGGTATTATACAAAACAGTCCAACCTAGGATGTCCCTAGAAACGAGTTAACCTCAATGCACTGATGAAACATTCTAGTCATTCTGCGAATAGGGCATGTAAATGGCTGATAAGAAACTTGACAATACCTAAAATTTGCTAATTAAACTGACAATGCGGTCACATCTAAATATGCGAAGTAACCTCGACACTATGGCCTTATTTTAAATTTACTTCAATCTACCCTTGATTAAAGCTAATTTATAAATGTATGTTAAAAATATGTACAAACTTCATAACTAAACCACTGTAGTCAACCTGGTTACACTCACCCCCTAATTTTAAAGAAAAAAGAATTTTTATAGAAGGGAATTTCATAGTAACTAACGGTTAAAAGGAATATCCTATTTATAAAAACTACTATACCAGCTCCTCGAAATAAACTTGGAAAATAGTAATATGTTCAAATGGTCGAGAGCGCGATAAAAGATTGTCCACCACTAGTATTTGACTAGTGAATTAGAGATTACCTCATTATGGACCTTAAATCTAAAACTCCCAATTTGGCCATAATTAGACATATGAAAGTCCGCGTAAAAAATATGAAGATTTGGCTATGAGTTTCTACAAATAAAAAATCCCTAAAAAACATCCATAATATCAGTATTAATTAAAATGGCAGGATAGTGTGGAATGATGGGATAGAGAAAAAATGGTAAAAATATGGCCCATCTCTAGCATGTCGCTAGAAAAATAGAGATTACATGTATCTCAATTGGTCCAAGAAACCTAATTTCTCAAGATGATCATATACTACACTATCCTATTTATAAAAAAATCCAAGCATCTGGCTAACACCTACATGTATTTTAAAAAGAAAATCCTCAACATATATTTACAGGGCCTCTTTCATCCCCAACCTAAACATGTTTATTTATCCACGTTGGGTTAGCTAATCCCAACATATAGTGGTTAAAACGAAATTAGGATAATGAGAGAATAAAATTTACCAAATACTGGCTCTACTATCAATACAGATATAATGGAATCTACATGTTCAATGTGAAATATAAGATATGACGTCTGCATTTAAGATTTATCATAGATTAAAGATGTAAAAGGGTTATTCGCCTAAAGCGCTAACTAAATCCTTTGCAAAATATTTACTTCTTGCAGCTTAGTACGATTTCAATATATTGCTACAAAAAGAATCCTATACTGGCAATGGGACGATTAAAAAAAAGTAAAAACATGCACAAAAATGTTAGGGTTTAGCTGAAGACGCGAGTACGCAGTCAAGCAACGAGTAGCAGTGAGCGGTACGTCAACATGTGCAATGCAGAGGCATAAGTCCACTGACGACAGTCAATGTAGCAGAGTGAAGAGTGGAATGGCACGATCGTTGGTCACCCCGGCAGGTGTCAATACACGAATAACCTGTATGCACACAAACAAAATAAAAAGAGAAAAGACTGCGCCAAGGTTATTATAAATTTACGAACGTCTGCTTACACTAAGAACAGTAAAGGATGACAATGATTGTTAAATGCTTAGGTATATAATATGCAAAAAAATCAAGATTTGAAAGCTGACAGTTGGATTTTGGTAAAATGGAGAGCTTCCAATATTCTATCTGTCACCAATTTTCTGTTAAAACGTGTACACAAGGCAAAGCTCCACTCTTTTTAATTATGTATTTACATGTATCTACAGTATATCCGTCAGGCAGTTCCTGTACATAACACAAATTTATCGGTTGCTGAACTTAATTTTGTTGATAGCAATTAACTTCACTTCTATGTTACAATTTCTTATATACACTCAATGCAGAATAAAGAAAAAATATGTTCCGCTTCAATACTCAATTTAGTTGGGACCTTTCACTAGTAGTGCAAAACTTAGTTGTCCTATATTTGTTTTGGGTAACTACTTAGGTTCACCGGTATAGCAGTCACTGGCTAGCAAGGAGGACCAACTTGGCTGTAGGACGAAGTCTCTGGCTTGCTGGATGGAGTCCCTGGCTAGCAAGGTAGGCGACAAAGCTGCAGGACGAAGTCCCTGGATTTTTGGCGGATGGAGTCCCTGGCTAGCAAGGCGGACGACTTGGCTGCAGGACGAAGTCCCTGGATTATTGCAGGATGGAGTTCCTGGCTAGCAAGGTAGGCGACAAAGCTGCAGGACGAAGTCCCTGGATTTTTGGCGGATGGAGTCCCTGGCTAGCAAGGCGGACGACTTGGCTGCAGGACGAAGTCCCTGGATTATTGCAGGATGGAGTCCCTGGCTAGCAAGGAGGACGACTTATCTGCCGGATGAAGTCCCTGGCTAGCAAGGTAGACGACTCGGCTGCAGATATTGCAGGATGGAGTCCCTGGCTAGCAAGGTAGGCAACGAAGCTGCAGATATTGCTTGTAGTGGGGAGCCTGCGGCCAGCAAGATGGACCCACTTGACAGCAGGGCAAAGTCCCTTGATTGCAGGATGGAGTCTGCTGCTAGCGAGGTAGACGACTGCAGGACTAAATGTCGGGCGGGGTAGCCTCCAGATTGTTCACCAGTAGCCTATACCCTATTTATTTGACTGCCGTTAATATCTCCGAAATCTATTAGTCCACTTTTTCAATGGAAGATTGCAAATGTCTTTCAATGCTTCACATCAGAAGAAGATTCTAAGTGTTCAAAGAATCGACTGCCGACTACGCCATTTGTAGCCAAGGGAAGAGTTATTGGTTTGGTCTAGCAGGGAACTCCTCATGTGGCCGAAGGCTACTTATAGTTAATAAATATTGATGTGAAGCGAGTGGACACGGAGAGATGACTAGATTTGATTAATTTATTCGGATGGATCTATACAAAATATACAGTTGTGGCTCTCTCGAATATATATACAAAAAAAACGACAGTCAAATGGGTATACAGTTGTACGTCTGTGGAATTAAAGAAAACAAAATGGACATCTCCATTTAAAAGAACATGTAAATAGCAATCCAATCAGTTACAAAACTAATAAGATAATTCTGACATTTAAACTAATATTTGGCGGAGCCTCATGGTGCATAATACTGCCCATGGTCTCTGAAACAGTGCTTTAGTTTACTTAAGCATCAGGTAATAAGAGAAACTTGAAGAAGCACGTTCTACTGTAGTTATTGCTTTACATTTCTTGCTAATTCACCGTACAATTATGGCCAATTATGCCTAAAGCTGGTGGGAAAAGGTGATATTTTATAGCATGTATTCCCTTTAATATCGAGAACACTTCTCTTTCAAGCATAATTACAATTGAAGAGAATCAAACCCTTTGTATTATGTGAAAATCTATCCATAGTATCTTTACACAAGGCTTCTACAAAATTTACAATAAAAATTGAAAAGAAAGATATAAAAATTAGGTGTGTACTCACCGCCTAGGCTGAACAACGGTCGTGCCACCACCAAACGAAGGGGAAATTGTCCCCAACTAGCTGTAGTTGAGCTATAATCAGAGCACTTCTAAATTGTAGGTGTGGTCTGATCGCAAGCAAGTGGATGAGTGTCTCTAGCAATGCCTTGTCATTACACGAAAGTTAAGTTATGCAGCTCGCAATGCAGCTCAGAAAGTGTTAACAATATTCTGGAATGCAAGGTATGTTGGAATGTTCCTGTCCAATGTAGCTAGTTATGCTAGAATGTGATTGCAGGAAAGTTAAGGAACCAAGCGAGGGCGTTGCAATAAAAGGTTTCTGTAACTACAGAGGGCGCTAATTATGTTATCAAAATAATGGCTCATCATATTGTACAGCCTATGTACTATGCTTATGATTATATTAGAAATGTTACCGAGACCTGTCTGTTGTAAAACACGACAGGTCACATAGGGATATTTATATACAGCATGCCTGATGAATTTTAATCTGGGGAGAAATTAACTGGGAAGAGTACACACAAAGCAGAAAGTCTACATGTTGGATATGCTGCACTCCATTGTAGCACATGTGGAACTCGAGGAATAAACTTTAGCAATGAATGGATATTCTCAGAGAATGTCAATTCTAAAGTAGGGGTTGGATATGTTTGCAAGTATTTGCAATTTGATTTTTAACTAAACAATTATGAAACCCTTACTCAAACTAAAGTTGTGTACATGTAGAGGAAGGCTCTATCTCCAACCAGCCCCTGTTCTACAATGTAGGTATTTTAAATTTGTTATTGGAGTGTGATCATGTGACTCTACAGGAAAAAAAGGAAAAGATACCTTGACTTCTATGTTGTCGCTTCTTTGCACGTCTTTCTGCGCGGGTTATCAGGGAAATGTCACAGAAACGTTTGTAGCACTGTTGATGGTATCCAAACGCCTGTAATTGAGAAAATGTTTTAAAAATATCACTCAATACTCTCATTTCAAAAATTTCACAATGTAAATTACAAAGTATTATACACAGTAGGAAAGTAGATCCTTGTCAGTTGATTGGAAGATTACCGGTCAAAGATGAACTGTTCTATTCAAGTCAACTTTACCTCGTAGAATGGAACATTCTATATTTCAACTTAGGAAAATTTTCACACCATGGCACCTACAGGTACATACATTCATTATTTATACTATTCTTCACATAATAGTGATCAGGCAAAATTTTAGAAAAATTGGGGAAAAAAAGCAAAATCAAAAAACAAAAAAATATTAACAGTGCATGAGGGATTGAAAATTAGACAAGCGGGCAGTGTTCTACTTTCTTTAGATTATATTATACTATCTAGAAAAAAACAGTAAGGAAATAAAAGTACCGTTAGGGCCTACATAAATGAGGACGCTATGAGCACAAGCTTCAAGAATGGCAAAATAAATGTTGGTTTTAACCACTTCGTACTTTGTAGTCTCAATAGTTTTGTACAAAGGGTGTCGTGGCGTACGTATATGAATTCGTTCCTTCCGGCTCTTAAAAGCCTAAAATCCTACATTCGAGGGGGAAAAAAAAGAAAAAAAATGTTGCAACCTGACGCCACTTCCGCGATTGTGTACAAAATAGGGAGTAATTGCAGAATACCCCGCCACGCGAAAATCACCCCCTAAAAATAAATGGCTACGCAGTCGGAAAATGTTGCAGAAACGTCCAAAGTACATGTAGGCTAGATGTCGGGAAGTGAATACGCGAGTATACGGGGTGGATTTGAGCGCTGGAGGTTCTAAAGAGGGCGCTTTTTCCCTGCAGGGTCTTCAGGGACAACGTGAATTGAATGGGGAGCAGTGGTTAAATAAATCTAAGTCCAAAGTACATGTAGGTGCAGGGAAGTGGATACGCGGATACGGGGATAAGGGGTGGACTTTATTTTTAGCGGAGGAAAATATTTTTGAGAACGAAGCATCCATATCCATGTTGGAAAATAACGATGGCAGAGACAACGTGAGTTGAATGGGGAGCAGGGGAAAAACGTCTCAGTCCAAAGTAGGTGCCGGGAAGTCGATACGCGGATACGGGGTGGTACACGCATGTGGTTTTGGTCGAGTATCCAAGCGTGACTCCGTATCCGCGTATCCGGATACGAGGTGGGATAGGTGAGTGGCGGGGTATTCTGCAATTGAGCCATATTATGTAGACAGTAGTACTAGTACAGACTACTACTAGTACCGTAAGCAATAATTTCGGAAATTGGAAATATTTCTCAGTCCCAGATTCATGTCTCATAATCATATTTTTTGCAATGAATAACCGGAGTTCATTGAGATGATATATGAAGAAAAAAGTGGCGTCAGGTTGCAACATTTTCCCCGAATAATTTATAGGCCTAAGGCCGCGTACGGTATGCCCTTGATGCCTACCTTTGACAATGATTCCGGTACATCTCCTTCCACGAGTGCTATTGGCATGCCGATGTTTTCCTCCGCTTTTTTGACGATTTCTGCGATTTCGGATTCCCCCGCATTCTTCCATCTACCTGCACAAGCTATGAATTTTGTCCAGCTTTTCTCTGAAAACGATGAAACGGTTGATCGGCCATTGGAAACATGCATTATGCACTTTTTCCCGTCGGAATCGCCGTCGCCTGAGGAGCTCATGGCGTCCGCCATCTTGCTGCCTAATAGAGCCTACGCGCATGCGCACGCTCGTACTTACGGCGCCCGCTATTGGTCCATTCACCGCACCACGACAGAAGGGCCTCGCTGATTGGTCGTTGGAAAATAATGACGTAATTCTCCACTCGGCATTTTTTGCGCCGAAACGGTGGAAATCTGAACTTTAAATCACGATTTTGGTACCATTTTGGGTCACGGATCAACTGTGGATTTTATATGTGATCATCCCAAAAGCTTCCTGAGTAGTTTAAAGTACAATTTATTTAGATCTGTGATATGCGTCAACAACCTGCAAGATAATCGGCCATGCATCTTGGTCTATTAAGTTTAACTTATTTATATTAGTTTACAAAAAGTGTATAAAGTTTTGAAGAAATTGTCGTTTGTAAGTTTTATAGTTTTATAAAGTTGTGTTTCTATAAACGATATATTTTCTACTTGTTAAAGATTATTTTGAGAGTTGTATTTTATTCAAAGAGTTGAGGCCTGTTATTGTTTGCATTTTCATGTTAAGAGTTGAGGACTCTTTTATACAATTGTTTGCATTTTCATGTTAAGAGTCGAGGACTAACCTTATACAGTTGTTTATATTTTTATATTCATGTTAAAAAGTTGAGGACAAAACTGGAGTTCAGTTAAAGTACGGATTATTTGTTAGGAATTTCCAAAATTACGGTTCGGAGAAGTGCGTGCACTCTAAAAAATAGTTGCTCAATATTGGGTAAAATTACTACCTTTTCGAGAGTAAAAAGGGAACATGGTCGTCAACTTGTGTACTTTTTTTTACACAACAGCTAAAGTGTAGAAAAGTACCCATTTCTGTGTAACTTTTACCCATAATTGTGTTACGTGTTTGCACAACAAAGTTGGGTAAGAAAGTTTACCCATGTGACGACCATGTTCCCTTTTTACTCAATTATTGGGTAAACTTTACCCAACCCTCCTTTTACCCAAGTGTTGTGTCAGTTTCTTACCCAGATATTGGGTTCTAATTTTTACCCTGCATTGTTGGGTTCTAAATTTACCCATCACTTGGGTTGTTTTTAAATTAGTCGTTGTGTACCTTTGTTATTGACCCTTGCAGTTTTATTTAACTTTGAACTCTGCAATGTGAATTGCATGCTAGAGACAGCAATCGCGAGGGATTTCAATAACTGAGTCCTGGGTTGGAAAGTCAGTAAAATGAATAAGATCATATTTCCCCAAATATGGTGCTGATGCATGAGGACTATTACGAGGAGCGTGGGTTAATGATGGGCAGGGGTGTTAGAATTTCCCTCAATCAACTCATTCAAAAAAAATTCCCCAAACGTCGGTCACTTTACTCCGTGTTTCTAGATCTGAGAACACTCACTATACGGTACATGAAACGCATGCATCATGTGCATGGAATCGTGGTTGGCAGAGCCGTGACGTCCAAGTTGCAAACAAATGTCTAAATAATAAGCATGTCAGTTCCCCAATCTCCCCGATATTAATCATCATGCATCAGCATCCCATTTGGAGGAAACAACACTGAAATTCATTTCACTGACTTACCGGGAACAAAGAAATCATGTCATCAAAATCCCCAAATTGTTGAAGGTCTCACAAGCGGCGGCCATCTTGTACATGAGTGATGACGCGTGAACAATATTGGGTAAACGTTGTCACGTGCGTCAGTTTACCCTGCACCGTGGTAACATTTAACCAATGTCTTGGTAAATTCTACTCTTGGACGTGTACAATGAAAGAATTGTTACACCGTGGTTGGGTAAATCCAGTTTCCTTAACCCATCACTTGGGTAATAATACGATGATTTTAACCTTTTGCCTGTGCTGCTGGGACTTGTAGTTAACGTTGGGTACTATTTTACCCTTTTCATGTGTAACACATTTTACACAAGTAGGAGGTACAAGCGAAATTCATTTTGCTCAATATTGGGCAGAAATGACACAATTTGTTTACACAACAGTTTTACACAACATAAATTTACACTTCTTTTTTAGAGTGTGGGAATATAAATTTACCTGACTGATTTTGTATGCAAAATATTTTCATCAAAGTTATTTAGCTAAAGCTTTTATCAAATTTCTTGTACTGGTTTTCAGGGACTGAAAACTTTGGGAGGGGGGCTATGTGACGGAATAGGAATCACCCTGAATAGTGAATCACCGACACTTTGCATATAAGGAATCCTTGGTTCTGATTGGTCAATTGAGTTTATGCACTGTTGTATGGCAAAGAGAGATTGTGCACCAGCTTATGGGGCTCAAAGTCTATAAAAGGAGCTGCAGGGCTAGGATTTAGTCAGTTGATTGCTTGATTCTCTTATGATTAGAATAATTGTTAAGGCTCTTGATTATGTGGAATGACATGACGGATGATGATGATGATTAAAGGCATGACCACCGTTCTTGATCACTGTTTCTGTTCACCAATTACTAGTCTGTCTTAGGGTATAGGGTCTACTTAGGACTAAGTCTAGGGCAAAGTCCCAAGGGAGACAAGTTGCTTCACCCATATTC